GGATGGATGATGAAGCTAGATAAGGAAGTGAAGTGAGTTAGTAACAGAGTTGTTGGTACCGTTTTAATTATGTGGCTTATTAGCTTTGCAGCTTTAGTTTTGATTGACAAGACAACTAACAAAGCCCCATTGCAGTACAGTAGTAGTGTGATAGATTTATATTCCACAGTAGTCCAAACCAGTAACTCACACCACACACCAAATCTCACCATTATTTTTCTAACATGCCATTATAGTTTTGTACCATTTTATTCTCAACAAATCCAAGTAATTGTCCTTCCCTTTGTAATATGCAATTTCCAGCATTTTTTTGAATGCTTGTGTTTACTAATATATAAGCTAGTAGCTACCACATCATCTTGATTGCTTAAATCTTGCTATGTGCACCATATGGTCATCAACCAATTTGCAATTACACCATTAGGTATGAGCTGAGTCTGGCCTACGCCTACCTATAGGATTATATGAAGTGCCAGAAAATGTTTGGATTCCTCGGTAGCTGCCTAGCATGTTATATATACACACCCCTTCAAGATTGCTATGGACTTTTGAAAATGTGGAGACGCCAATGACAGGTATCAGCTAGGTGCCCATCAACTTTACCAAACTACAGTTCAAAATGCGGATTGATTTCCAATTCTAAAAAAATAGATTCTGCCGAGATTTCAACACTAGAAATCAAAATAAAAAGCCGTATATCCGTAAATATCCGAGAATATTGGTGTATCCGAATTCCTAAAAAATTAGCATAATTCGTGGGATAATATGTCGATATCCCACAAATTATGTCAATATTTGAGAAATCGGATTTACAAAAATTTAGTTTACAAATTGGTTTCTAGTTTCAAAATTTTGGTAAAATCCGTTTTTCCAGGTTCAAAATTTCACCCTAAATCAGCATCTTCAACTATACTAAGCATATTTCAATGTTTATCATCTAATTCCCACACTCAGAGTGTAGGAGAAATGTTCTAAAAATAATTAGGTTTAGCATATACTAAGCATATTTCAATGTTTATCATCACTTTGAATCATATTTCTTCCACTATATTTTCGCCCGGGCGGGTTTATTATACCTGCATCCATAGGTTTGTTGCATAGTTTAATCTGATCTTTATTTATCCTTTTATGATTTTAATGTAATTATACCGAAGAAAATGTTTGTATGAAATTATTTCCCAGAAAATGAATGAAGATCCTTGAAAATTGATTTTGGAACCAATAGTACAAGATCTAACAGATATATTTGCTTGCATACCTGATACCATTGGGGTCCTACTGTACTGAGAGATGCCATAAACCAAGGGCATATGAACCTCCATACATATATTACCCTATATATAGATGACATTGTTTTTGTAGGATTTACGGAGTTGTCTAATAACCATAGTTCAAGATGCCGATTTTGGGTCAGAAATTTCAAACCTTGGAAAAACAGATTTTGCTGAGATTTCAACATTAGAAATTAATTTAAAAACCGTGTCTTTGTGAATATTCATAAATCCGATTTCTCAAATATTGGCATAATTCCGGAGATATTCATAAACGAGAGTTTGGTAATTAAGAAAAAGCCATCTTTCTAATGCTTTATATATATCAAGAAATATGATGTGTTTAGGGTGGTGTTGTGTAATTAGACACTGACCAAGGCAGACTTGTTGTCATAACCCTAATATGCATTAGCAACCCTACAACAATAGTAACCTTATTTTCTCACTCACTAGTCAGTCACCATTAGTTATACTTATAACTTAAATTTTACAAGTGTATGGTCTCA